ATCTGTAGTACATGCGTTTGACTTGTGGAGGTGCATCAAATTATTCTTTCTATGAGCGCAATAAACACTTTGTTGTCCGGTGTAGAAAAAGTGTTAAAGCGTGACATACTTTAAACAAACTTAAAGGGCAAATACCAAGGGCAGATTAATATGATGGTACTGAAATATCTATTGGAACTTCGTTTTTGATAATAAAATCACATTTCAACATGCAGAACGCTTAGTGTTCAGCATACCAGATGAAAATACATGTAGACATGAATCTAACAATAAAATATCAAAATTTCAGTACATCTTATTTATATTTTTATATATTATATAACTTATTACAGATTACATAATCTTTGTAGTGTGGTCTAGTTCCACTATTGACCTTTTCTTACTGATATATTAACATATTTGAACTTTTCACGCGCTTATTAGAGCATATAAAATATAAATTGTGTATTATATGAAGACATAGATAAAATAACGTAAAACACGAAATAATAGATAGGATAGTTATGTATTGTTTTTCCATGATTCTATTACTAGTCACTAGTAGATAAAAACATCCTCGAATTAGAAGGTATTTTATTAAAATAAGAAAGATTACAACTTTGGGTTTAAATTCTTATTTAAGGAAGTAATCGTCTTGTACTGTTCGTTATTTAGGCTTTTACTAGAATTGTTTCACGTGACGGTGGTTAATTTATAAATGGTTAAATTATTTTGTAAACAATAAAAAATACTACAGAATTACCAAACGATATTATGTATGAAACAAAACTCAACGTAGTTATTAAATCGCAAAGGTTATTTAGGTACATAATGTATCCAAAAATATACAAGTTTTTATATTTATGAACTTTCACAGATCACAAATCATTTTATATAGCTCAATGATTACATCTTTACGATATTCCAACTGTAGTAGAATATAGAAATTTATATTTGTCTTTGTGCGACGATTTTCTGGGTTTTTATTTGTACCTGTTATTTTTTTTATGAATTCTGTAGTGTTTACACTTTAAATCAAATAATAAAAAAAATGGACTGTTGTTATATAATATTGAATAAAACAGTAATGTAAGTTAGTGTTACATTAAATGCTTCAACACTTTTATGTCTATTACCGACCCTTAAGCTACCTTGAAATTATGGAAGTTTAGAGATAGCCATAAAACTTGGTCCGTTTTCCTTCATTTAATCCCAGACAAATTTTTATTCTTTATTGAAAAAATGTTACATGATATCGATACGGCGATTTACCAATTTTACAGTAACGACTTTTATTATTTATCTCAAATTCTCATATATCGTAACTGATATAAATTAATAGTTGCAAAATGAAAATACATATAAAGTGTTATGGATGTTTGTAAAACTGTGTAAACTTGCGAGGTAACTAAGTCTTTGTTTGCTAATTTATGATTTCACATGGAGTCTATTTCAGAAAACATATATTAAGGTTCTAGTTATAAATATTTCTTGCAAAAAGGTGGCGTGTTAAATAATTACGAAAATGTCAATTTACATGAAGAGCGAAAGTCTTAGATTCGATTTCCGCCGAGTCTGTGATTGTTTCGACAATTCGACCTACATGCCTTAAAAAGTCATAGAGATATTCCGGTCTCATGTCCTAATGTTACGGGACTTACCAACATTACATAGATTTAAAGTTATTCGGAAATATATTAAGACGTAAAGTTAAGTTAAGTTAGTTTAAAAAACAAATTTTCTAAATCCGTTCATGTGGAAAGCGATTCCTGCATACAGAGTTAGCACGGTTATGCGTTCACATATGACTGAGCGGTATCCGCAAAACGCTGCAGTGACGCAGACTGCGGTAAAACCATATCACTTTTATCAAAAAGCAATTTCCATAAACAATGAAAAATACATTTCTACTTGCTGAACGCTTTGGAAAATATATTTTTAAAACAGAGAAGTTAAATCAGTGAAAATTTAAATAATTGGAAATGATTCGTAATGAAACGCAAACACACGTAGATGGTATTCAGTGAAAATGTATTATTTTAATATTTAAATAAACTAAATTAGTACAAAATAAGTGAAATTATTATGAAAATATAACCGAAAATGCAATAAATGTAAAGAATATGTTGATGCTTCTTATAGGGTCTTGCATAGAACGATTGAAATATAGACGTTTTGATTAGTTTTCTATTTTAAAGCCAAGATCTCACTCTCTGTGTTGAAAGTTTCCAATTTTGAGGGGACTATTTTAAAAAAACTTGCTTCATGTTTAATATATTTTCCAAGCACTACTCTATTACACATTTATTACAATAATTTATGTTTATATATCACTAGGTTGTTTCACTGTCCGCGTCTTTGAAAGAGAAGTGCATTTCATAACAGAAAACAATCATTTTATATAAAATTTAAACAGGCATTCCAATATTCGAAACAAAAACTTTTTCTTCAGATGTGACAAGTGTTGCCTGCCATGATTTCCATATTCAAACTCCAACAGCTTGACACTTCAAACAAAAAATCCTTAAAATAAGGAATAATAATAATAGGCCATAAACAAAAAAACAAGACCTAATTATAAATATCCGCATTCGGGATTTTCGAATGAGTTAAAATCTCTGCATCATAATATAGTGCAATCGAAATTCAAATCTTTGTTTAAAATTACAAAGTTGCAGGAGTATGTGAAGAATTAAATTCGAAAGTTTTATCTAACAAGAATGAATGTTAAAAAGTGTACTTAGATATAGCGCAAGTGAGGCTCATAAGGACTCTTACAAAAACCTACCAAAAGTGGGTCGTGTCATTCTCGTATTTTTTGGAAAAATACAAACTTACCGTTTCGTCCTCTTTAATTTGTGATATGTAGTGATAAAACGGGGGTTTTTACTATAAATACCGTTAAATATTATTTACTGTTCTTGGTTAATAAATATAACTTGGTTAAAATTATAACTTAAGAGATAGGTAATATAAAGTAAGTACTATTATAACATAAAAGCTATCCATATCTTTAAAAATGTTATATTCCTGCGTGCTTTCGATGTGAAAATTTAATATGTCATATCTGCGCAGTATTTTATGCGGAATGGAGAAGTAGGTTACGATATATTATTTCACGAAAATAATTACTTGCGAGAGATGAAATATCGATATTAAATTTTTGTTAAGATGATTTTTTTCATAATATCCCTAGCGTTTTTTACTAAAGAGCTTTTCTTTTAATGAAAGTGTTACGTCCTTAAAGTAATTGCATTGGACATTCAATATAATCTCACTTAGCGCAAATTAAAGGAAAGAATAAGACTGGTGTTTGTATTTTGTTAAGTACGCGATTAACAGCGCAGCTTATAAATTCAGTAAAGTTGTATAAATTACTGCTGGAAATTCCAACTACTTAGATGCCAGTGCCATACAAAAACATTTCCACGGGGATCGTTTGAAGCTTAACTAGATTTTGTGAATATTTATTTATTTAGCGCTGCCTTTGATTATTTTAATATACGTTTGTAGAGCTTTAAGCTAAGGTAATATTACTATTATTCTTAATTATATAATTAGTATTTACGTAATACTATATACACACAGGGGTGAACGTGATTGCCGTGCATGATATTACGCAGTGTTGTGAATTGTATTCTTGTTGAATTAAATTGTATATGGTACCGTTTTTCCGTATTTAATTGTTTAAGGCATTGAGTAATGTGTGCGGTGGTTTGACAAAATAAATTGTTATGGTAACCGCTTAATTTTGTACTGGAAATATTTAGCTGAATAGTGTTAGTTATTTTTGTATTTGCTACCAATTTGACTAGAAGATGTTAAAATGTCATTTAATTATATTAGATATATTCATATAAATATTTGTTTTAATATTTGGTAATAATATATTTCCATCAGTTTGATTTAGGATCGTTTTTGTTATACCTAATTAAGGGTTTTCTTATGCGATATAAACTGTATTTAATGTTACAGATAAAGTTTGACATATTTTATTGTTTTTTCTGTTATTGTTCTACATAATATCTATGTTTAACGTAATTAGGTATTTATCTTTTGAAGATTATTCGACTCCCCGATCGCGTCATATATGAACTCGATTTTCAGTAGAAACTATGTGAAAACTTCGCGTAAAAAGTAGTTTATATTTTTAAAGTAGAACTATTTCGAAAGCGGTCGTTGACTTTTCCAAATTCATACCTGTTAATTGTTCTTATCAAATCTGTTGTGTGTCTTGTAGTTTAACATGAAGATACTATCTTTAATATGTATCATTATCATTTTAAAAAAACACTCCAAATGGATTGGATATTTTTTTTTTCTAAATTAATACACATATGATAAATAATATGTGTAACCAAAGAAATTTAAAGTTTTTAACGCCACGCTGCAGACGCCGAGACCAGTACTCTGTATCTTCCAACAGCGACAGCGATATCGATCCGCGCTAATGTCACCCGGGACCCCGGAATAAAAACCCATTCGGTATTGCTATTGGAAAAGTCCTAGTATTATATATTCCGCAAAAACAACGTGGCGTATAATAAATATGTAGTACGATAACTGAAATTACATAATCTTTCGTTTTTATTAATTTTCTATTTATAACGCAAATTATTCTGTGTGAGATAACTTTTAGGTTTTATCATAAACTACATTATAATCGCAACTTGATAACTTATAGCATTTAACTAAGTTGTATAAAGACATCACCACGTCAAGTTAGTGTTGGTAACTTAAACAAAGGTCCTTAAGTTGTTCAGAACTTATTAAAGGAAAATAGAAGATACATTTACATCGCTGTCAAGATGTTGCAATATATTATTGCCAGTGGCTTCGTATTCAAACTGTTTATTCAACAAAGTATATTATTTTATATTTTTATTAAACTTAAAACTTACTAAAACTTCTTAATTAATAAAACTACCAGTTACGAAACATAATGAGCACTATCAATAAATCAATATCTTTTTACAGGTCGTGCGATAGAGCGAGTGTGCAGTGGTACTGATGGTGCGGGGATGGTGTCAGCTGCACGGGCGCTACTTGCGGCTGTCACTAGGGTCCTTCTTTTAGCGGATATGGTGGTTGTGAGACAATTACTATTGGCCAAGGACAAGGTTAGGTTTTATGGCCCCCTCCATACTTTTTAAGTGTATATTTTAAAATCTCGATACCTTAATTTTACCTATATTTTCTGTACCTTAATCCTTTTTTTCTCAATAGACAAATAGGTGATCAGCCTTTTGTGGCTTGCGTACGCTGTATAATGGATAATGGTTCTCTTCCGATGTTTCGTCCTTAGCTTACAAGCAAGTTAATCGCGCGCCTAGACTCACGGCTTTCATAATAATCTTTATTCATAATAATCTTTATATTATTATTATTAATGATTATATAAATAAATAAAAAAAATTAATAATAATCGAGAATTTGATTAAACAGAATATACTATTCACTATTTCGGTAGATGAACTATTCTATAGGGTAATATAATTATTTAGTTAACTTTTATGTAGGCTTTGCTTAGGTTTTAACTGGGATTAGAGATTCAATCTATGATCCTAGTAATTCAATTAATCGCTTCATTTAAATTGCATTGCTGCCAACCCTTGAAAATATTATTTTATTACTAAATTATTCACCAAATTTGGCACGAGTGTGGATAATGTCGACTTATCCAAATTTGGAATTCTACCAGTAATACCACAGCAACCGTGTGAATTTATAACATTAAAAAATAAAATACACAAGTGCCGAGACAGAATATATTATGTTTATTCGTAAAATCCAAATTAGTGTAATTTAGTTTTTTTGTAATTTACTACTTAACCGCTTTTGTGACTCTTTTCATCACGCCATAAACCCAATTTGGGAGAAAGAGAGTCAAAGAGTGATAAAGAAATTATATAATAAGACTGTAAAAGAATTTACTGAGGCAATTGTTTAAACTTACATCTCAACCGATTTATTTGCTTGAAATTTGTATTCACCGAGGCTCCAGTATAAATCCGAAAGAGTGTGTGTTATCGTGTATGATTTACGATGTTACCTCCAATAAAGCTGTACGGCGATTTGATGATGATTATTTGTCACGACTAAACGTTTTAACCAGTCACGCGAACTTTGAATAGGCAAACAGTTTTATTTTCTACAAAGAGCACGCCACTATATGTATACATCAAATAATGACTTAATTTATATACATACCTCGCTGTTGCTTTACATAAATACTTTTAATTATCAGAGATTTTCGATGCCGAGCCAAGCCATACAAAAACCCCATAATTTTGGCAAGTTATATATTCATAGTGATTATTAATTAACTTTTTTTTATTTATACATTCACGCCTTTTTCCCTGAGGGGTAGACCGTGACAGGGACCACAGATCTCTATTTGCTACAGTCCTGACATAGCCCTCTCGCTTCAGCCACTTTCATGACAGTTACCATGCATGCTCGTCGGTTATGGGCTTTTTCGACCTGCCCCTTCTTTAGTTTGTCCTGGATTTGGTCCAGGTATGTACAACAAGACCTACCTGAACCGACCTCACCATCTACGGCTGCCATGTACATCCTACTCGTAAGCCGCTTCTATCAGCTTTTTTATGATAGAAGCGGTGTCATTATTGCTGCCGATGCACGGTAAGCAATACCTCTAATACAAGCAATAGCCATGCAGAAGGGATGAATGAGAAGCGGCTCATTCATTCATTGATTGTAAGAATTATTTTCAATCCTTGTCACCACGTTCTCTTTTATATCACACCTAATTATTATATTTGGCTTTAAAGCATACACTCGTATTACATTACCAAACGTCATACTGCGAGATAACTTTGTTTAATTTACAATTTATTTAAATCAATCGTAACCTGCACAAGTTTAACTGATAGTTGACTTATAGATTGAACGCGAGAAGCAAAAGTTAGATAACTTGAATTCTGGCAGGTGGCACGTTCATTGGATCGTCTGGAGTCGGTGTCCAACTTTGCAGAGTTTGTACGCGCGTTCACGGAGTTTGGGGGAAGTATGGTGGAGCTTGCACGACTTACGGCGGAGCGGAGAGCAGATTTAAGGGATGAGAGGCGGAGGGCGCAGGTAGCAGCAGCAAGGAATGTACTTGAACGGTCTACATTAATGCTTCTTACGTCATCTAAGGTAATTGGCACTTGGAAAATGTGTCTTTTGGTCATACAGCTTCACAAAATACCACTGTTTGTCATCACATTATCATATACGTTGCATAAGACGATTAATTCTTCATCAAAAATGTTCACGTATTCTTGATAACAACATACCTACTAAGAAGAATATTACATAGAAAAGTAAAAGAATGGTTGTTGCTGTGCATTATTAACTTTATATCAGGCTGTTACGAAAATAACGTCCATTATCGATTCCGTTAACGTTTGTTGGCATATCAAACAACTACACATGTAGCAAAGGTTTTGAAATATTTTAATTAACATAAGATGGCTGTGAACTTCTTGAAAATTCCCCGTCATATATTTTAATCTAAAAATATTGCTACGTTTTTAGCTAGTGATAGAATCGAGAATAGTGATTTAATAAAGGTCACAATAAATCTCTCTGGGCCTTCGCCTCGCGTATTTCGTAAATTAGAAGGAGCGTTCTGGGATTCGTCATCAATTATGTATGTTCCGAATGAGATCGAGTTTTGGCTACTTTGAAGTGTTTCGTGACAGTAAAATTACGTCTATAACAGAAAGAAAGGCCCAAACTATACTAGGAACCTTTTGTGTTCTCAAATAGATAGTATAGCTACGTAAAAATAATCATTATTAACACGCTCCTTCATAAAAGATATTTCATCAATCAAAGATAAAGTCAAGAGAAATCAAAGAAAAAGAATTCACTTTTTCTCGAAATATAACGTCCCACTAACACTTGTTATACAAAATATATAATCCTAAAATTTAATATGTATAAAAATTACCGCTCGGAATTAAGCTAAAGCAATTAACATTTGAGGCAAGGTTACAAAACGAAAAGAAATAAAAACACAAAAAGAAATTTTAATTTTTGGCCTATTTCGATGGTGAAAAATGTTTTTACCCTTTTAACAAAATAACGAATAAATATGCATATTTTGCGTATAAAAGGCTACTTACTGCTAGGGTAAGTTACGGCCGGCCACTGATGCAGATATTAATGCTTTCGGAGAGATACAAATACTTTTGAAGCACTGACGATATTTCAAACAGATGTTTATATGATCCTAGATATTTATCATACAGAAAAATATTATGTAACAAATTAAATAATGTGTAGAAATAATATCGGTATTTCTGTTATACGCCGTTTTCCTTTAAAACATTGCAATTAAGACTCATTGAGTCTTAGAATGTTGTTATGCATACAGTACTAACATAATTTTAAATAAAGCTAGAATAATCTCGGATATATTTTAATGCGATAAAGACTAGACATTAATCCAACTTACATAATTTGCTAAGTCCACTGCAGCTATAAAGCTATTTTAACATTTCACCGGGATGTTAGCTCTAATTGCATCTAGTTAACCTGAAATGAGTGTTACCGGTTTACGAATACCTTCGTATTTTGGGATCTTACCGATCGATATACTTGGTGTAGAGGGAATGTGGAAGCGTGTTCGAAATCGCATATATGTGTGCTAGCTTGAACGTTACGTTGTAAAGTCTGTAATAGAATGTAGTACAATTTTCGCCAATTCACAGATATCTCTGCATAGTATTAAATAGTCGTTTTCCTATTGTCCTCTTAGATATTTAAAACATCGGTACGGATGTTTTAATCCAGCAGACTTCATTAATATATAAAAGAGGAAACATATTTAAAAGGAAGTTCAAATTTACAATAATCCTTCCTCCTAGTATTCCTTCCTCCCTTCTGCTTTCCTACTTAGACATTAGCGAAGTCTCATCTCTACTCAATAGTGAAGTATATAGTTATTATTCTAAGAAAAGCTTAAAATAAGTTAAATAATATTAATAAATTCAGAAATATTTCAGGTAAATAGAAAATACTTTCATTTGTACCTAGAATTATTTTCAGACGTGTTTAAGGCATCCAGGGAGTGCATCGGCGCGAGAAAATCGAGATACAGTTTTCTGTCAAATGAGGCGAGCTATGGATCTAATACATTACGTTGTACGAGACGGACTTCCGGGACATGAAGAGCAATCACAAGAGGTCTGTGCAAGGCCTTACTTTATATGCCAATAGTCTAATAAAATCAACATTTAATATTTTTGGCGCTTGGAACTTATCTAATAAGCGTTAATATTACTTAATCATTATAACATAGATTTTTGTTTTCTTATTAGTAAGTGTATTTCATATAAGGACCATGTCACAATGTTTTTCAATGGTTAATTAATTACATTTAGCATTGATAAATATAATTTATTTATTCTTTATGCAATACGTTTTCACATTTTAATAGGCTTTATATAGGCTGGCATAGCCTATAAAGTCAGTCTCTTATTAAGATCTGGCTTTAATTACTATGTGAAACTGCTAATATGAAACTTGACTGTTCCTTTAAGGTAACCTACTCTCGTGATAAAGAGCAGGTGAGCCTACTTAAATACCTCGCATTACAGGAATGAGCTTTTTACAGATTTTAAATTTCATTTCGCAATTTACCACACTGTTTTGCACAGTTTTTTACTTTTAATAAAATATGTTTGAACTTTTAAGAACTCATATTAAATTGTTTAGTTAAATCCTTAGTAGTCAGTAAGACCTCTGGTGTAGTTATGTCTCTTGAATGGAATCCCAATACCACCACTAGGTGTGCTGTTTTTGTTTTTAAATAAAGGAGATAAGAGGTAAAAAGAAACCAGCAGTTTCCACAATTGAAATCATAATTTTAAGCGTGGACGGACGCATTAAATGAGATAATTTCTTCACGTAATGCGTAAAAGACTAATTTATTATATAAGATTAACACAAATTAACATTTATGTGTCTGTTTGTTGATTTCAATGCAGATTTAGATCTCTAGAGCTGTCTTAGTACAAATATTGTTTGTGTAATCGAAATCGATAATCACGAAACCGTGTTTTATAATCAATGATTAAAATGTCACCAACACACGTTTTATGCGATTCTCAGCAGACGATAACGCGGGCATAAAAATGAAAAGTTTCTCGATGTAATATCGTATATATATTATTCTGATGTAAGTAACTGTGTCATCAAAAATGAATTTAGTATTTTTTGTATAAACTGGACCCGCGTTTTGAATACAAAAGAATTTAACACAAATGTAAATACGATTACGCGGCCAGAATTTTAGTGGATATCGCCTATTAAACAAACATATAAATCATTCGGTGGTCGTAAAATGCGTAGGATATTCATAAACACATCAAGATTCGTGTATACGGCGCTTACGTAAACAGAAATTTGATTTAAGCACGGGCTACTAGCCATAAAAAAATATTTGTGACTTAATACACGCAACACACGCGATTTCACGTAGTTTTATTTTAATAGTGAATCAGAAGTCCTTCGAAAAATTAAATAGTTAGATGATTTGTGAAAGACTATGACAAGCCATCTTCGTTTGCGTGCCATATTTTACATGAAAGATACAAACACGTATTTCTTCAGTACCTAATTGATCTAGATACTAGAAAAGGTTCTCGTTTCTTAAAAATGAGTTCAAATATGTATAGATTCATATACGTAAATTAAGTTAATAAGTATATTTACTTTACAATTTTATACATTTTTTCTTAACTATTCAAGTCCCATTCGATTCACTGATAATTGTATATGATTTTACATTTAAATGCGTTTTTAGACCCATTCTTCAACGCTGAGTAAGAATTCACCCGCGACCTTTAATGCGCAAGAACTCTTTGTCCGTGTCCCTATTAATATTATATTAAATATTATTTATGAGCAGTGTTGTCCTAGTGGATTCAGCATGCGACTCTCCTTCCATCCCGGTCAAGGTTCGAAGTACTTGTCTATTAGAAAATTTATCACGAAACAGGTATAAAATTCTGAGGCCTAGACTACTTGTAACACCATTGTTTTTTTAATACCTACCTATAAATATAACTTATTGATTATCAGTACCAATAAGTAACTGGGGTGGTGTAACCATTCATATATTGTATATACCCCTGAGTTAATAATAGCAATAAACATAGAACGCTTCGTTGCACACGCTATCCTAATTACTTATGTCAAGACTACTTTGAATGCATTGCGCCACTATGTAAATGTATGCACGAATGCATATTCACTTAGGTATTTCTTACGTGTCTTATCTTGATACTACGCTGTAAATTTTCACGCCGTTCAAGTGATTATGTTAATATATTTTTATTAAACTTATTCATATACGCTAAAACGCGTTTAATTGTCCCAATGCAATGGCCGATAACCTCGTAGGTTGTAAAACACGTGAAACTTTGCCATCGGAATAATTGTATATTGTCCTAGAACAATTGTATAATCGTGCTAATTTTAATCTAGTAAAATGTATTTTCTACATTCATTTCTTAGTTTTCTTTCTAGGGCCTTAAAATAATCGTAACGAAGTATTTATCACTTTTATGTAGGTCGTGCCTAGGTAGCAGAAAAGTTACAGTAACTACGCTTTTTGATTTGAAATTTTATCGTAAATCTGAGTTACGACTTGCGTGTTACAAAAAGTTATTAAAATATCAACCTTCATACACAACACAAATCGGCGTGTAGCTGAACCTTTATTATTTGATATAGATTTGCTTATTTGAAATTTTATTGCATTAAACATTTTCATATTTCTATCTCGGAGTTTTAATATAAGTATTGTACGATTGTTTATTTTAAGTTTTTTTCCATTTACATTTAAACACGTAGATTGTTTATACTATCAAAACTTTAAATAAATTTCTCTATTGTAGTTGCAACCTTTCTCGGACAGTCAAGAACAGGTATACCAGTATTTGTTTAGGTAAAGTTGTTTGTTTATAAAAAGCCTCGTTGAATTAGAAAAAAAATAAATTAATACTAAGCTTGTACGTGTAAGTCGATGCTCTCCCAAAACTTCTGTTATATCAATTACATTATATTTCATAAGCAGTACATAAGCAATACACAATTTCATTTTTAATTATCAGACAATGGGGAAGCATAGTTCTTGTAGAGTTAACGTATATTTTTATCGATACTCCTTTGCTTGTATATTGAAAATAAAACCTTACAAATTAAGCTATCAGACTCTACACCCCATTCAAAGCTATGCTTGAGAAACGGTTTCTTAGAATTGCAATACCACGCTGTCCACTTACCATAAGCTACGAGTAACGCTTGATGCTTTACCACAAAACTCTAAAAATAAGCTGTTTAGTGCCACGCCGCGTAGGTTTCTTAAATTATTAATACCACATTTTGTTATTCGAACTGCTAAGTGAGGGGATGTAGAAAAAAGCTTTTTAGAAGAAACAAATATGTAGGTTAATTCTTCGAGTTGCATGGTAATATGTAAACAATCACAGCCTTTTAAAATTCAGTATCGTATGAGCCATCTCACTTTAAAATTAACACTCTGAGATGGCTTAGCATTTAATATTATTGTTCACTGTGCGATATGTTGCAAAAGAAGAATTATATTAATTACATGATCATAGAAGTAAAATATTAATTGATCTGTTATCTTTTGCAACAAATGCATCGTGAGCTAGTATTGTACAACGTTAGATTTTTCGGACTTTTTGCTAGGCAGCTCAATGGGAAGCAGGAACGGCGTTAGGTGCTTTAAGGGGGCTGACGACGCAGGTTCGGGCAGCAAGAGCAAGGGGTGGCGCTGACGGATCACGGAGAAGAGCCCTAGCGGCAACGTTGAGAGCTCTAGTCGAACGCACACACGACTTCACAGACTCCGCCTATACCTCGCACGAACATCGACAAAGGATACTGGCCTTAGCTGAACGAATAGCTTATGAGTTGGAGAGATTAGTGTCTGTTGCTGTCTCTTTAGTGAGTAAATATTGTTTCATAAAAGCACCTTTAGTTTTGGCCTTAATGTCAGGTCAAAACCCTATTTCTTTACATGGAACCAGTGCAAATTATTTTTATGGATTTAAATAGTTATCTTAAATTGCACGAAAACGTGAAAAAATTTGAGATGGAATGCCATTTCTGCTTATTTCGCGAAGGTTTATAAAACACATCGAGTACGGGACTTAGTAAAACTACACATATTAATAGTGAAAACCTATTTTAGGAGGAACAGGGTGTAAGTGGTACATTAGCAGCATTGGAAAGCGCTTGTGCGGGTGCAACCACTGCTGCGGGTGAATTAGAAAGAGCCTTAGTCGCTGCCGCCAGGGATCAAGCGAGAGACTTGGCTTCCCTAGCGGAACAGGCCAGAAAAATAGCTACAGACCTCGCGCACATAGGTAACCTTCGAAGAAAAATAGGTATAGTCGTACTTGTATGAGTAGCGAACACTTGTGTGTATTGGTAATTGGAGAATTCAGGTGCAGCATATGCCAATTCAATCAAGTGTAATAGAAGTAACTTTTTGAAGCCGAAGATATCAGAAGGAAGTGCTATTGTGCAATGTTTTGCTTATTTTGCATGCACCAAGCTATTAAAAAATTTCTTAATTTATTGCATATAGTCATCTAGTGTTATCTTAATAACATTTTCTCATAGATATTGTAGTTAGATAATTGGTTAGATTGGTTTTGATATTAGGAAAGACACGCTTTTCTTTTGATGCTGCTAATTCAAAAATATATATCCCCAACACAGAGGTGTTCGCTGACGCTAAATATTTATTTCTATTTCTTTTTTTCTTAAATCCTTTTCACTCGTTTCAGCTAGTTCCTGTGGTGAGAGAGAATCAGAGAGACTGCACAATATAGCCAGCCAGCTTCATGAGCAATTAGATCATATAATTGAGGCAAGTTACAGACTTATAAAATATCATCACAGTCTTTACGTTAAATATATTATGTTTTACATTATAAGGGAATAACTATTTTTGACGGCTTTATATATTTTAATCATTTTTAATATTAGCCTATATTTTTACAAAAGGTAAAAATAAAGGCTACACATAACTTTGGATCATCTGCTGTTTGTGGGTACTTAAGATGTAATAAATACCCTTCTAATATAATAATTTGATCTTACGTCAAACCAGTATATAGTAGCTTCAGGTTAAAACACTTTATTTCGACAGGTATGCAAATTACTTAGGCATATAGCGATGTCGGAGACTCTTCAAGTTAGTGCTAAGTTCGCTGAAATAAATTTAAGGATATACGGCCCTCAAGTGGTGACGGCAGCGCGGACGCTCGCTGCCCATCCGGGCAGTGCCGCAGCAAGAGAAAACCTCGATGTGTTCGTAGATATGTGGGCTTGGCTCCTAGCTGATGCCGCACGCCTAGCTAAAGAACTTTTAGATTTAACAGACGAAAGACCCGATAAACAACAATATAGTAGTTTACCTAGACCTGGTGTAAGTATTCTTATGTTTATATTGTGTATATACAAACCTATACATCTTTTGTTTAAGTTATGAAAAACTCAATACGATATACCTTTATACCTTTATATTCGGTTGCATTAACTTTAAAATGACTAAAAATGTATAGTGACAGGTAATTGTAACATTCTATAACTGTATTCGTAATGTTGGTCTTATCTATGTTTAAAAATCATGAAAGTGTCGTTACGGCCGAGGCAGTTAAATACCTTATGATGCTTCAAAAGTTGTTATAAAGTGTTTATGATACGCAGTTTTAATGGCTTTGCAAGTTTCATCAATCTCATTTTATAAATGCTTCTAAGGATTTCTTGATATAAACTTTATTGTTATTCGTCGACAACATTCACATGTGCTAATTTATTTCAGAAACACGGCACAACTAGTAAACCCTTAAAAGCAGTTCGTCTAGATTCAGATGAGCAAGCGAAAATTGCCAAATCGGGTCTCGAAATGAAAATGATGTCCTCTGAGATGGACGCTGAAACTGAAAAGTGGCAGGGCGCAGACGAAAATAATGACATCGTGAAAAGGTACTCAATATCGTGTATAGAATATTTTCTATACTTCTCAAAGGGGAGCTCTTAGTTGCCATTGTTTTGTTTTTAGAGCTAAGAATATGTCTTCCATGGCCTTCGCTATGTACCAATTCACAAAAGGTGAAGGTCGACTTAATACAACGCAAGATCTCTTCACCCAAGCAGAATACTTTGCAGAAGAGGCGAATAGACTTTATAAAATTGTTAGACAGTTTTCGTACCAGGTGAGGCTATATATAAATTGTTTAAAAAAATATAAGGCGTGAAACCTTAGATGGCGAGGCATATTTATATGATTAGTTTTAGGAACAATGTCTTATAGCATTCTACGCATTCTAAGCCAATATATAAGGTTTATTTATTTTAGTTTTACGGCGAATCGAACACAGGTCTTCCGGGCTATGAGCATGCTGAATAATCTATGTTTCTGCATCTATTTAAAATATAATTAATATAGCTTGACATCGAACTGAAACTTGTAAATTATTTTAGCCACCAACGAATGAATTTTTCAAACTAAATCGTTACATTATATATGTAATATACGATTTATTGCATTAATACAGTGTATTAAGTCGAAGGTTATTTTAAAGGTTCCAGCAGGTACAGCTAAGAAAGAGTTGTTGGAACATTTGGACAGAGTCCCAACGTACGTACAACAGTTACAATTTACGGTAAAGGAGCCAACGGTCGGGCGAGCCGCAACTTTCAGCAAAGTCGATAATGTCATTCAAGAAACTAAACACCTCATGAACGTTATTAGTAAAGTTGTCACGACCTGCTTCGATTGCGCAAACAAGGTAACATCATGACCATTATCAATTGATTTTTCATTAAATGCAACACATGGCACATTTTTAAAATCCTTTAGAGATTTTTCTAGGCAAATTAAAGATTTTAGTGCATTGGAACGTAATGTTCCTTAGGTACCTTTGCCGTGGGAGAAGAGTGTGGGAGTTAAAAGGCACCAGAGTGTTGCACCTGTTAAGTACTTTCGATTTTTTTTCGTTGTCTGTTAGACTTGAGGGGGTGATCAGTGTGTTGTTAAGTTTTATTCTCGTTGATGATATTCCTTTTTTTATTAAAAAATTTAAGAATAAAACGAGAATAAAATTTATTTAGCTATTAGATATACTTAGTACAATAGATTAATAGTAATTTTTTATCTTGGTGTCACATCCTGTTGTAATTTCATTTTGGTTTTATTTAATAACTGGTGCTTATCACGAATTCGTTTCACTCCGAAATTTTATTATGGGGCCTATGGGCTAATACATTTCCATGTATATTTGTAATATCGTTTTTCTAAAATTTTCTTATACCTTATGAAAATCTTTCTTATTCAGTGTGCGTGTCCTCTAAAGTAGGACCCTGTATTTAGTCAAATCCAAGCATGTTTATGTGGTATCTCTTGAAAAATTGGTCTATATTTTTTTAAGTCTCCTAGTATACGTATAGTATGTCCAAATTAAATTGTCCAACGAACAAATGAAGCAATAAAGCTTCCAATTAAGTTTTATTCTGTTTACGTAATTTCAGTACTCGCTTTGTATGCCCGAGAGAGTCCCTATGTATTGGAAGCCAAATTTACGAAAAGCATCTACATTTAAGAGTGAAAATAGTGTATTGAATGGTTAATGTAGGTATACGTGTGGTAAACGTTTTGTGTTCTTCACTAACAGCGTTGTTTTCACTGTAATACAGTCAGAGGCCTATACATCTACATGGTTTAATGGAGTTTAGTGTAGAATTGTTTGATGGTGTTTACCCATAGCTAATTAATGAATGTTGTTTATGTGATGTTGCAATGAAATTACTAACTAGCTTAGAATACGTGTGAGGACTATTCTTAAAGTTTGTAAGCAGTTATAAACTTTAAGTCTCGCTATCGTTGAATATGCTAGTACATACGACATTTTTGCTGTCGTTAAAACGAACTAATCGTCTAAAGCTAATTCATAATCGTATTTTAACAAGGGTACGTATGCATGGCGTTTTCGGTGGGTGCGTTAGCGGTGGTGTAGTGTTTTTACGGTCTCCTTTGTTTCGCCAAAAAATCGTCGAAATAATTGAGACCCACCAGCAAGTTTTATCTTAACGAATGCGTTTTATGCAGTACAAATTGGACTTCACGGGGCTGTCCGCCGGCGGGGCTGGAGCAAGTCGCACGGCCAGGGACGACGAAGCCGGAGGTGGCGGAGGTACAGATGCGAAGCCTGGAGGGAGCTCGTCAGATACGGCCATGTGACAGTACGGCATGGGCCGGCGCGGCAAAGGCGACGCGCGCCGGACCAGGGTCAGCTTCCTACTGTTTTAAGCACTTAAACGTCTTAAAACAACTCGTCGCCACTCGGTTCAACAAAGGCATGTTTAAAATTACATACTTGGGTAAAAATAATACTTACAAGAAAAATATTATAAATTCGCGATGATCAACATAACTTAAATGATAACGTAAGTTGGGACTAAAGTATGACGAACTTGTTCTCCTCTACTCACTTTTCATAGGTTTAGTTAGCAACGGGAGCACAATTCCTTGAGAGTTGAAATCACCGTAGAACCCAATGTTTATTTCACAGTATTTGCGCTATGTATTTTTAACCAAGCCTTGTTCTAAGCATTATATTCATTAACCTGCGCCTACAGTCTAATTGAATTAACTGGCCCGTAATGGGATTATATCATCGTACAAACTGAGTTATTAAATATAATGCTGTAAACCGATAAAAATGTTGATAATGTGTTTAATAATGCGCATATATTTGCCATTGTTAGATGGATTTCAGCAACTTAATTTTAAGATGGACAGTACGATATAGAAATAATTTTAAGACCACTTGCGACACACAAGATCGTTGGTAATTCGCGAATAATGCAGTAAGCCTCCTTATTGTTAGAGCGCGGACACGCATAAGGCTGTGGACTAACATACCTTATAGTCATAATATTCTTCTTTCTTGTTCACTGTTTTTATGTTTCATAGCGTAGATCTTCTAAGCATACACTCGCGTTACGAATTTTCCATGGTTATAATAAATGTGATCGTTAATTAAGAGTGAAAACGTACAATAAATACTTGTTACACTAGAATATTGTTACACAATGTTACATAATGATACAAAGAAGCCTATTTTTTTAATTTTCCCTCTAGCTGACCTAAGTCCAGACCTGTGTATTATTCGTTAGGTAGAGAGTTCCTATTTCTAAGTTTAATCGACGCTCTATATACGCACCTCTGTGGTCCTGTTGCACCTTTGAGTTACGCACGTTTGCTTTATGTTTTCGTTGCATCAGTTTCAACACGCTACTTCACAATCACAACACTTCATTCCGTGTTACATGTCTAACTGTAAATATAGCAAACGCCATCGGGCCGACATTGCATGAATGTGAATCGGATAAAATAGATGTGTGTTGCATGTGTGTGACAATGGTTATGGATGTCGTACTTCATCTTGACGGGAAGACGTTTAGGATAAACATGATGGAACTTGACTCTGGTGGTTTGCACCACCACGTCGCCATGGAACAGATGTTATATAGACCGAATGAAGGAACGCATTGGCAAGTATAATGTTGCATGATCTGTGTTTGCTAAATGTACATCGCTCGGCATGTCGCTCGCAATAATAAACAAAAACATATCTACTGCTTATCGGGGGTAATGTTATTTAGTGTTTAAGTGACTTCAAGGTTTGCAACTCGGATATCACGCTTCGCTAAGTTCCTTACGCTAGAGCGAAATGTTGATTTTATACATATCAGCGATTGTAAAACCAAATTTTTAAAATCTTTATACATTTATCGACAAATATACCTACTAGATATTACACCACTATAAACATCATCGAAATATTTAGACATATTTTCACATGAATAGAACAATAAAGACATTGTTTTTATGATATCAACAATTGCTTTTTAAAAGGCGTGAGTATACTGCATTCCTATTTTACAAAACTCATAAGCAATAATATAATTATGCATATCAAAGCTAATTATATATTTATTAAGATAGGAACGTAGAACTATTAAATTCGCTTTTCAGTTATATCTTAAAACATGCCTGTTTTACTTCGATCTGTCTTTCAGGGTCTATATAACTCTCGTTTCATTATTCTCGATTTCAATTTACCATTTAATACTTAATATAAGATTATCTACATCGATTTCTAATTAATCTTTAAATCCTCTTAAAATATTGTAAGTTAGCTTAAGTTCTTAAAAACGCCTTAAGTTTTATTCACGAACAATATTCGATTAATGTAAAGAGCTTTACAAAGCTTTATCATAAGAGTTGTGAATCGAAATCGTGGCCACGTAACGTTTAGACTCAAGTTTAGTATAGAACGCCTTCGATCTTAATTATAAATCTAATTTTATAAGAGTTTTCATATAGTTATTCCGATAAAGCAAGCTCTAAATGACGATTTGTAAGGCTTATATTAGGTACAGATGCTTAGTATGCAGTTCGACGTACAAATCACGTTACTTTTCTAATATATTTTTTAAATACATATTTAAGTTTAAACGTAACAAATACAGTGTACGTTATTGACAAATCATGGCATTAGGAACTTGCTTATAACGTTGAAACTATGTTCATGACCAATGTAATTACCATAAGCTAGAGATTTGTAGTGCAGTAGGCTTATACGGATCGCAGACAACCTCATGTTCAAATTAGATCGCTCGGTGAATGACACATACAATAGCCGTCGTGCCTCTTATAGTAGATATGGCTAGATGCAAGCATCGCCACGCAATACCTTATTTGTATAAAGTTATGTTTTGTGTACGGACAAATGTAAAGTTTAGGCTTGTATTTCGGAAGTGCTTAATCAATGCAGTAGACAGTATGAATTTTGTGTAAGTAATAAAGAAAATATACACATCTGTACGTGTTCATGAAAATTAATGTACAAATCACATTACGTACTGCCTATTGTTAGCAACACTAGAATATTAGATACATCCTTCAGCCTTTAGACATGAGGTTTGCATCGGCGTAAAGAAACAAAAATGTTTATGAACAGCTTTAACTGTGTGGCTGTTTACTTTCAATTAGATTAGATCGTACGTCGTCAGTAACTTGCGTGAAAAACCACTTGGCTAAAGGCTGAGATGTATCATAAAGGTAATATTACCATAACAGTGACTTCCATTGCATTTATAACCAGCTAGATAAGTGACGTAGATAGCTATACAGATTTGTGATATTACGAGTTAATTGATATTTAGTACAACGTCCTTTATCGTTTCAATATTTAGAATAGTGGGACACGAAATGAACACCAATATAAAATCATAGTGTTTAGTAATTATACATATTTGGTAAATTAAGATAATGTATAGAGAGCAGCTGTTAGTCATGATGCATGGTTTTTGCTAATTATCAAATTTCTCTTATTAAAACGAAGATATAAATAGATATATTCTGCGTTGGTCTATAAAATGTTTAAAAAAAATATTTACAAAATATCGCACATTAATAAATTAATTTATTAATATTCTTAAATAGAAATTTAAATATCTGCTTCGAATCCCGGTTTTATAGATTTCTAGTTTCTGATATAAATTTGAAATTAGGACTAGTGGGTAATTGGCTTTCCAGTAATTTTTTCTAAAGTGTAAATGTTGGTAACCCTGAACGAATAAACCCCAGAAACGAATGTAAATATTTATGCTAGATCATTCTCGTCTACGCGTTTTGTGTCGTATTTAAATCAACTTACTATTTTAATAAGAGTGGAAAATTAGAGTTGTATTGTCGAAACTGTTGTGATTGTTATCATATACAATGTTGCATTTTCATTAAAATATAGTATATTTTCAATAGGGCTGCCAAAGTTTAATATGAATAGACGTAGTCACGATATATACGTCATCAAGAATTGAGGTTGTATGTGGAATAATGTATTTTAATGTTTGATTATAAAGTTATTATGTGACTGCCAAAATCGTTTAAGAAATTAGACATTAAAAAGAATTATACTAAATTGTCAAATTACTTATACCGCGTTGGCATGTGCATAACTGTATTTACTTATTGAATAAAAAGTATTCGTAATAATTCAACTTATTTATTTACATAACCTCATTACGACCGAATATTTAAATTAAGAAATCATTAATTTTACATTTTACATGAAATCCATGTTAACCTTAATAAATTATACGAAATATCAATGTTTGGATTTTCTCAGTATTTTTACAGTATCCAAAAACAAAATTCCATTAAATTGCGGAATGTCTGAGATAAGATTTTAGAAATATTCGATCGAAGCCCTTTTTTATAAAATTAAATGTTTTGGGCCACCAATCCTGATATTTTCACTATGATTCTAATATGTCTACCATAAGTGCAAAAATGTCTATGAAAAACGAAATAAGGTGTTGACAAAGGTTACTAGCCGAAAACAACTGCCAACCTACGTAAATCAGGACATTGCTTTTTTCTTATTTACGCATTAGAATGGAATTAGCAAGTAAAGGACCAATATATTCCTTCGTGTGCGTATTTAAATGACATATTATGCCTATTCACATTAAATCGAAAATTCTTACAGCGCCCCTGTGGTGGAATCGTTGCATACTCGTACTAATATTTGACGCCGACGTTTTGTACGTTAGCGTTATTAACTTACGAGTCCAATTTTCGATCTCCAAGTGACTTATAGTCTACAGATACTGCAAGAAGTTTCATTTTATAAGGTAAATAAATAAAACACACCATTCCTATATATTACGTATTTATTTATATTTTCAAAGGTACAATATATTACATCGTCCGAACGTCGTTCATCTTACATTCCTTGTAATGACTACGCACTTTAGATCGGGTTGGAAAAAAAAGCATTACACTTATATCTACGCTAATTCAACTCGGAAGTCAATACTGTGAGAATACATATTAAATAAAGATTATGCATTTCATAACTTGAATATATCTTTGTCATGTTATGAATAAACGAAAATATTTACAAAGACTAAGAGGCTAATATGGAATAACATAACGTTCACAACAGCGTAGAGTAATCTGGTTTATAGGAATAAATGAAGGCATGACTCGACTTCGACTCGACTAATCACTTCATAAACAGTTAAAATAAGTAATTCCAATGTGTATGAAGCAATCTGCGCACACGCCTATGATAAAGATACTAGTCCTAGCTAATGCTAGATCTATTTCACAACTGACCTATGAGCATTAAATATCACTAAGCACATGTATAACGTCGTGCCACTCCACACAATGTCAAGCATTTAGTTATAAAAAATATCTAAATTCATTAAAATTTAGAATCGTGTTTCCTAAAATACCCTCTTACTTATGTTTATAAGTAAGCGGTGAGTCTAAACGTGAACTTTCTAGATAAACAATTTTGAATTATTAAGACACTAGCGTTTAAACTACGCAAAGATTTAGAAAAGAAGATTAATGCAGATTGGGGTCGAATTGTTCAATTTTACGTGTCGATTAATTTACGAATTACCGTAAGACAAACCCCTATTTACAAAGATGTTAATTAATTCCTACACTACTTTGGCATCTCCGCGGACGTATTCGAAAAAAATTGTGCTCAAAAAGTTACAAAATTTCAATACAAAAAGTAAATTAGGCCTTTACAAATAAATGCTTTGTCATGGAATAATGGTCAATAATTCATAGTCTTACAATCGTTGTTCTTAATATAAATTTAATACTAGATCGCTCGATTATAGTGCTATACCGCTCGTGACATTCTTAAATGACCAATCTGAAAGTCGTAAATAATAAATATATAGAAAACTATACAAGAATGTCAAATTACAAGTTAACCCCGGAACCTTATTTACATCACAAAATGGAGATCGCATTAGTATATAGAAATTTAGAAAGTGTAATACTTGTCCTTAAATTTGGGATGTTGTCTCTGTTTAAAGTTAGCCTAAAGAAAGAGACAGGTAGAATTATTTATATTTAGTGAAACCGCTCCAGAAATGGCACTGAGTTAATCTCATGAAATTCCGAGTCACTTTATAAAGTACATTTCTTCAACACATTACGATATGTCGAATTGAAACCTTGAAATGAAAACACTGTGTTAAAACTCTATACAAAGGTGTTTAGCAACAAGGCCAAAGCAAGAGTATCCGACAATTCCCATCCGGTTTTAGTCTAATGACCTACTGAGTATAAGGATGTCTAAGTATGTGACCAAAATCAGAAGTCATAAACCGGAAATAGGTCCAAATTGGAAACGGAAATTCCATGTCTAAACCATTTTAGGTACATCCGCCTACAAATGAGGCACTATGATATCACAAAAAAACATATTTTTAAAAATAGAATGTCACAATGAAACTACCTTTAACGGAAAAAAATCGTGTCGTATTACGTCAAAATGAAATCGTATCGTATATTTGATTATTTCTGAGTGAATAAGATTTTTATAAAGGATACATACGTAAACATCTTTATATAATTAGAATTAGACAATGTTACCACGTTCCTTACGCTGGTATACGGTTAGTCACGTGTGAGTTACGGTGGGTGCGAAGCCGACGCTTAACGCGATTAGAACAAACCTTTCTTTTTCTTATCCTTCTTTTCCTTGTCCATTGTTCTGAAATTGGAATACCAAACTATGGAATTGATGTTTTATTGAAGTTGTAAATACAAAATACAAACAATATTTGGAATTGATAATGTTTTATTGGTTACGAATTTTTACGTTAAATGCATGCAAAAATGGAAGAAAACCTTTATCGGCGTAAAAATGACACTTTTGACTTTGAATTTAACGGATTACAAGCGCCTTTGTTTATATAGTATGTTTTTTATTTAAAGTTTGTCTTAGAGTCACTTCTTCTTAAAATATGACATATAGCCCATTTACTTATCACTTTCGACTTAAATTTCCCTAACCGCAATTTGCAGCAATTAATTTGTAAATTGATGCATGCATGAATGCAAAATTTATTGTGTTGAAAATTAAGATAATTTTTATTTTTATCTATACCCATTTAATATTGAGATGAAAAAGAAAATTTTTTATCTATACATTTAATATTGAGATGAAGGATTTCACACTTAGGTATTGGCAAATGTGACATCGACCTGACACATGGCCCCGGGTCATTGAATTTTTTTTAAAATTTTAGGTTTAAGTTTTTAAATTCACTCCATTAAACTCAAATCTAATCTCAAAAACGGTATAAGTTTGAATAAACAGACGAAAAAAAATCCCAAACAATTTAAAGAACTTCAAAGGTTCGTAAATCCCAAAACGACCTACACACAGTGTAATTGTATGATTTGGATTTAAAGACGTGCGAAATTACTGAGGTTAAGTTAACTGTAGTCTAAAAGAAAAATATATAAAAAATAATAACTGTTAGACTGGGTTCACACGGCATTGTCCTGCACGTTTTCTTTGTATTCGTTTTTTTAACGTACTTTCACCCGGGTGTTCACACGGTAGATTTTCATTCGTGTAAAATACGATTAGCCTCTTCACACAGTTGTCACAGTGAGCGAGAACGAGACATAGCTATATTATGTGGCCCTTTAAACCGAATTAACGTCAAAGTTCATTCGATTTGCTTGACATTCCGTTGAGCATTCGTTTGAACGTATAAACGGTGTACGATATTTGGCAGTACAGACGCCGTGTGAATGGGTCTTTGTACAATACATGTGCCACTATTTAATTTGTTAAGACGTATACTGCAAAAAAACACAATGCCGTGTGAACCTGGCCTTAGACAGCGTAAGGTAAGCAAGAACTAAATAGCAAGGGAAGTGTCGCTCCCGTATGCCAAATTTTTGTAATTGGATTTGACATCCGAGCATCTCAATTTATATATTTTCTATCGGCTCTCCAATTCCAGGTTTCATCCGCATCACCTTGATGGCTGGAAAACTTCCACATTCACTTCTCTCCCAGATCCGGTGATACCACCCTCAAGGGCCGGTAACGCATTCACTAATAAAATTAGTGTCCATGGTCTGAAGTACTTGCCTTTTATGGCCGCCTATCCTATAAAAACTAATAAAATACTGACTCCTTGCTATTGGCCTCCAAAGATCGGCGTCGCAGATCGTCAAGCGAGAGCCCGGTCTCCCTCTCCCAGGCAGATTGTTCCGCTTGCAGCGCCCTCTGTCTCTCTTCCAACTCCCGCGCTTGGGCCTCCAAAGCGCGTCGCGTGGCTTCGTGCCGTCTAGCCAATTCAGCTTCGGACTCTTTGAGCTTTGCACGTTTCTCGCGGACTTTGGACTCAAACACCTGTAAATTATGTAAACTCTAATTAAAATCTAATCTCATAAAAATTATGTTGATATGTGATCATACATTACAATCTTTTTAAATGACCCATACCACAAAGATCCAGACATCGCGAAAGCTAGGTATGTAACCTTAGCACGAAGAAATTATTAGGTAGGCATTGAAACTAATCGGAAACACGAAAATACATAGAATAGAAATCGTGTAAACTTTGCATATTGTCATCTTTTCGAGCTGTCAAAAATTGTCAGTATCGGATTGACATATAAGAATATTTGAAAATTGTCGTACAGCTTTAGCCGTTGTGTGTGGTTTCTAAGACGGTTTTAAGCATTTGCAACAAAATTATACCTGTTCCATTTCACTTTCCATTTTCTTCATTTTCTGATCATGTTCCCTCTTTTCCTCCTCCATCTGAGCTAACGGATTCCTGTAACGAAACCATGTTTATAATAACTACAAAATTGATTTCTACACACTCGTATAAAAAACACACATTTAAATCGAGTGTGACATGCGAGGGGATTTTAAATTAATGTGTTTATCAATGTTTTTAAAATTTTATTGCAATTTTACCGAATAAATATGGGACATAGTGTCATTTAAGGGTATTATTGCAAAGTTAATCTAAAGTAGGAGGAATGGATTAAATATTTAGATTATTGTAAAAGTGCTTCAAACGAAAAGCCGATGCGATGACGTTTATGAATGCTTTGTGATATGCAAATGTACATGCACTACGAATATACACGACACTAAAGTTACACTTTCCAAAAACCAGCATGCAAGACATTAAAGACCAATATTTGGAAACTATAAATTTCCGTTCACGTAGTCTGTGCGGAAAAGGAACCGTCGTGGATTGGATTGCCCAGTGATGCGGAATAACATTTTTTAATATGACAACACAGTTACATCACTATAGTTCGAAAGCCAGCATCTTGATTTGAAAAATTAAGTATATAATTTTTATGAATTTACAAAATGACGAAAAGTCAAAAGTTGTATCAGTTCGCATAATCGCCACGCCGATTCCCTTTCCGGTACTCTAATGTTATGTCAGAAAATTAAATGTTTTTAAATTGTTCCTAATAAAACATAATAGTTTATATATGTGGATGCGATGAGACTTACCAGACGGTCATGAAACTGTTCATCAATCCTTGCGGGCAGAAACTGAACACCAACACAACCAGTTAGCATACCAATGGCTGTGCATACGCAGTGACATCAAGCAATTTATGTGTTTTTTTTATTTGTTATTATGTAAAATTAAGAAGTTTTTCATTTTTTAGTTAAACTGTAACTGATCCGTTTAAGATCAACGGTAAATTACGAGACATTTTTGTATATAAGATTCGTCTACTTGCAGAGTCAATTTCGAAGAATTTTGGTAGAATGAAAGTGCTTTGGTGTTAACATTTTGTTAGACTAGTGAGTAATAAAACAAGCCAAGCATTGGCAATTATGCAAACGAACAAAAAAACGTGCAACATTCCTGGGCTGTGATTGTTTATTCAGTCCGTGTGCAAATTTTGACCAAATTTACATTACACGTGCATTGTTTAAATAAAAACTGGGGTCAATTGTTACAACGAAAAATTACAATTGCTTTAATGCCACTGCGATGTTAGTATTATGATTTATGAGGTAGTCATGGATATTTTAATGAGCGTACAATTTGTGGATTGTTTATTAAAAATTCCATGACATAATGATGTTCTGGTGATTATTTATCTATAAAGCAATTTTATGTTCTATCCGTGGAAGAACGTCATCAAAAATAAAATAAAAACTCGGTGATAATGCAAATAATGACCTTAGGAAAGAGACAATAAAAGTTTATTGTATATAATTTTAGATTCTTACTCTTTTTGAATAGCCAAAAATTATATACAAGCACAGACGTTCACTAATTATGCCATTTTAATTTTTGAATTGGCTCCAATTGTTTTTTAATTGGAAATTTCTTCGAAAGAATGTACAATTATGAAATATGTTTTTGCCAAAGCTCTAAACAAATCTAAAACCAAATTTTATTTCTTGCAAATTTTTCAGAAATGCTTTTATTTGTGTCTCACTGCCCTGTATTACCCTCTACAATGCCCAAAATGCAATAATCTCCTTCCTAAGATTAATATAATCATGTATAGAGTAATTTAATCTTAAATTTTTTAAATTAATTTTCGCTAATCACCAAAACATCCACGTATTTCATTTCTGCATGCCCAAGCGCATATATATAACTAATAGAGTGGAAAAGAAAATAGCGAACTCGGAGATGACCAGACATGCAGCAATGTAACACAATTTTGGTTTTGGATTCATGTATAATTTCCGAGTACTACGAACTTACGAATAACTAACCGTTATTTACGATAGATATCCCAAATCGTCTTCACAAGAATAAAGATGTATATTTTTCATAATAATAGGCTGATTTAATTGTTTTGTTTTGGTGCAAATAAAATTAAAAAAATGGGGTTGCTTAAAAACATGTGAAAGACAGGTGAAAACGCTTTTTAACGCACGGTAACTATTCGTAAGTTGGTTATGGTAATCGGCATGTCTGGTCACCTTGAAGTGACGACATATGTAAATACCAACCCCGTCTACTTAGGTTGTTAGTCATCATGCCTCCATTTATAACTAAGAGCGCTATTATTGAAAAGTAAAGGAAACTTAATTTGTATTAAGTATTTTCATACAATTTAGTTCTTATTTCAAAACGCATCATAACTCAGTTTTAGTTATTGTCATACATACAATAATCATAATGAAATACAACAGATCTTAAAACCAGCCGTGTAGCGTTCTGGAATACGAGCCAATACGTAAATCACATTGTCTTCAAGTCAAATGTACAGTAAATTCGTTACTTGTTAACGAACATTCCAATTTTAAAAAACGTATCTAATATCTTATTAAGGTGTATAATTAGATACCCTACACATTTTGTCAAATTCGAATATACGTTAACAATTAACGAAGTGTGACTGCAAATTGGTGCCATCAACAAGAATACCATAACTTCTTTAAATGAACCTCAAATACATTTAAAAAAAAAAGTTATTCTAATAACGTGTCACAAGGTCAATAAAGGTCACATGACCTTCGGTGGCCCTAAAATATGACAATGCGATCTATCAAAGTAAAAAAATACATACTTATTAGAATTGATCCTGTGCGGTTTGCCGTCGTGTGAAAGACCAGCTAACTTGCGACATCTATAATTTTCATAGTGGACTGAGCTGGTAACATCTTTCAGGTCCTGAAGATGAGTCCTTATTACCATGTTCCGTAGCGCCAAGAAATCGCAGTGCTCGAGATTTTCAACTGGAATTTATTATTATTTATCAGGAAACACATACAATGTATTTTCTTATTGGTTAATTTAAAACAAAAGATTGTGCCAGTATACGTGTAAATAGTTGTAGTAAATATGTAATATCGCAAATACCTAAATTAATTTCTTAATCAAGCAATTTACAGTGGCCACTTTGTCAAACAATCATTTAATTTACGTCTCTTGGGTATTTACTAATACACGTATGTATTAACGTGGTATAATTGAAGCCGACAGTCCCCGTACTCTAAAACTCTCAATAGCGATTCCAATGACAAAACCAATAATAAACTTAATTGGCAGAATTAAATATTGCCAACTTTTCATTGGTCTGGGCTTCTTACATTAATTGGAAACAGCTATATTTCAGGACGCCTATATTTCATTATATTTTTAAAATCAAAATCCTAATTAGGATGTATACTCTGAGACTGACATTAGCTCACGCTTTATCACGTTCGTTCATACAAAATCGTTTAGCGTCAGAGATCGGGAGGGACGCCTGTCGAAGAGTTTTTGTATTAAACCCTTAGTAACAATTTGGATCTAAAGGTGACATAACGCCATAAAGCAATGTTCCAGATTCGCAATTTCAAATGGGATTAATTGAGGTTTATTAGCTTTAAGTGGACAGTAAATACATTTTCAATTGGCTGTTCCGCATTTCAATTAAATCGTTCAGGTAATTGGAATATATGAAATGCATAAATTGAATGAAATTGATCGGAATGCATTTAACAATTTTTCAAAGCTATTATCAGGCTATTTGAGTAATGGTTACGCTTTGCGTGATTACGCGCCCTATACCAGCCTTTTTAGGGGTAATTTTTTTAATAAGCATAATTTCAATTGATTTTATTTGTATTTTTAGATTGTAGTTTGTACTGCCCAACCAAGTGGCGAGTTTCAAATCTAAACAAGCTTTTAAAACCAGTGACTAATATTAATGAATTTTTTTTTATCGATACTTGAGACCCCTTAGACATACTTGTATCAATACTTTATGCTTTTGTGTAATGAAAAAGCAAGGATCAAAGCAGCAGTGTTCATAATTCGGCCAAAGGGATCCAACGATCAAACATAACTTCTTTTGTTTTAAAATATAAAGGATGCAGCTTAGGTTTATTAATCTATGATACATGTGGGGTCACTCTGCATCTTTTACCGCATTTACCATGGAGAGTGTTCAGAGGAGTTTGTTCGGTAATACCTGCAGCTAAGTTTTATCATCGGACGTCGAGGCAGAATACGAAATTCCACCCGTATCACCTCGACGTCCGCCGTTCCACAACTGAGCGTTTTCTAAGGCAGTTTTTGCCGCGCACCACCACTATGTGGAACCAGCTGAAGTATTTCCGAACCAATTCGACTTAGGGTCCTTCAAGAAAAGAGCGTACCAATTCTTAAAAGGCCGGCAACGCACTCGCGAGCCCTCTGGCATTGAGAGTGTCCATGGGCGGCGGTATTACTAAACATCAGGTGAGCCTCCTGCCCGTTTGCCCCCTGTTCTATAAAAAAAACATATATTTCCGACATACCCTCCGCAATACCCCAAGGGTACTTCCGGCCCCGAATACGTTTTCCATCCTGTTCGATGACCGTGTTGGCACCGACCACCGCGAATGGCACTCTGTTCCGAAGCGTCTTAGTCGCATCTCCTTCGCCCTCCTCACCCGTACTCTCCGGAAAGTCATAGATTTTGATCTTGTGCTGATTTATTTCTTTCATTATCTAAAAATATATAGAAAATATTTAATTATAAAATTCGCTGCATAATATATTTCTCAAATCAATGAAAACGCCCTCAACACTTATACACAAGATTATATTTTGGGCACGTTTACTATCGTTAAGACACAATATGTAATAAATTTTATAAGTTTTCTTGTACCAGTTCTCAAATCATCAATTCTAGAATGAAAGATTACGCTTTTTGATGGATGTCCGTTACATTTCTACATTCGTTTTGCAAATCTTACCCTTTTTAATATCAAAGTAGAGAAAGAGACTAAAGTAATAAAACAAAATTTATAAGAAATAGTATTAAAAAATTCACTACCAAAATATTCTGATGAAAATTAATTTCCCATTGCATTTCATACGAAATTATGTCTGATTAAACCTCATGAATTGGTTAACTATTTTAAAAGCGAATAAAATCTCAAAGCTAACCTGCTCTTTAAATTCCATGCACTCCTCTGGCGTCATGGTATCCGCTTTAGCAATAACTGGTATTATATTGACTTTATCGCCGAGCCGCTGCATGAACTCTACATCGAGGGGTTTCAACCCATGTCCGCTCGGCGCAATAAAGTAGAGGCAGCAATGGACTCGCGTGTCAGGTGGCGCCGCTTGACGCGTCACGCGAGACTCCGCGTTGAGAAACTCTTCGTATTTCGATTCCACGAAGTCGATGATCGGTTGCCAGCTATAAAGCAATTTTACAAAATTAAACGCATTTACTGTTTCATATGGGCTCAGCAGGGATTTTTACTTTAGGAATTTCCGTAATATACGGGTTTCTTCATAATGTGGGAAATCGTATCAAGCTAATTGTCCTGTGCCATTGATTTATAACAATGACCATTTAGACCCATAGTAAATCACACTTATGCTGTTAGTAATGATATCAATGAATTCATCTTTGCTGACACAAATATTATTTAAATGCAAACATGTATGACAATGTTGAATTAGAATTACTCACTAGGTGTGGCAATTTTTTTTTTTAAGTGACGTACCAAAATATGTTATTGTTAATGTTCAAATATACGAAACGTTCGTCTTACAATTATAATCCAATTTACAAGATTACATTCGTTGTTTTAGAACGTATGAATTATAATTTCAACTTTCGTTTTCACTTATTAGTTCTGACTAGAACAAGTTTTAGTCATGCACTGAAAAAGCATCTTTATGAATATTTAATTATTGTATAATCCGGTTATGTTACCACTAACATGTTTTTAAAGCAACTCGAAACAACTAATTACACCACGACTCGTTTGTAGTAGAAGAATTCCTTAACTATATTATTAATATTACATTAAATAAAAGTAATAAACGATAAAGCAATTTCAAACTACGCTTGTTGGGCGAGGTCTTGCGTTCAAATCCTGGGCACTAATATAGTATTTTCAAAACAGTCTAACTTTCTGATTAAACCAGAGTGAGTTCCATGGGTCACATAAGTCATACCAAACACCAAGTCTCGACTCTAAACAACGGCATTTGTCAGGCACAGAAGGCTGATGAAAATTATTTACTGAACTGAGACCAAGGTGGAAGCGCCTACGCTTTTAATTTCCTTTTACATATCTCTATATATATATAAAATTCTCGTGTCACAATGTTCGTTCCCATACTCCTCCGAAACGGCTCGACCGATTCTTATGAAATTTTTTATGCATATTCAGTAAGTCTGAGAATCGGACAACATCTATACTTTTATTGAACTAAAAAAATGTTTCCTAGAAATTATATACATGGCAAAACGTTTGCCGGGTCAGCTAGTAGTATATAAAAAGACAGCTTCTTTAGCTAAGGAAGTTGACATAGACATAGGAATAATGTATTACCAGTTACTATTATCCACCGCGTCCCCAAATCCTGGCGTATCAACGATCGTCAACGTTAGATTAACGCCATTTTCCTTCAACAGTACAATACTAGTCTCCACACCAACTGTCTTCTTAACCCGGAGCGATGGACCAGGGTGTTTGTCCTTATCGTAAACATCGGTCAGAAACAACGAGTTTATTAATGTCGACTTTCCCAAACCGGTTTCACCTGAAAGTTACGAAATCAGGTGTTATCCAAATAGTAAGTAAAAAAAAAAGTTTAAATACCTATCAAAATTTATATTAATTATTACCCAATCAATGCGTACAATGGAATACCGATTTTGATGAATCATGGACTGTACCCAAACTGTAAAATACCTGTATGAGTTTCCGAGAAATTTGTGGAAATTGGTACATGGACGCGTAAAATTCCAATCCCATTTCCAACATCCATACATGCCGGTTAAACTTAAAACTTACACTTAAAAATATAATTGAAACTATCCGATCCGATAGAAATAATGTGGTATAATCTAGCTACCATCAATTATATTTATGGAGATGTATAACCATTTAACTCCATAGAAACGGAGCAAAAAATAAAAGTGCCAGGGCATTTCACTCATAATTTTTATAAAGGGTAAAACAAATATAAAGTATGTACTTGTTTTCACGGGAGTCACCACATGGAGGGTATAAAACCTTACTTTTACTATTTAATGTTATATCTTATATAATGTTAAAAATATGAGTAATGGGGTGTGTCATAAAATAAGAGAACTGTTTGCATGTTCTTCATGCTTTGTTTGATGCAGATAAATCCTCGGCTCTCGCATATATGGAAATGTTTGAGAGAAAGCTTAAAAGGAAGTGTTTACTATAATTGTAGCTGACATTTCAAGTTGAAATTAAGTTATATATATTTGTGTTTTCTGGATTGGTAATCGTGCGGTGCGGATATTTTGTACGGAAATTGTATGAAAAATGTAAACTTGAATATCCCCCGAATAGACGCATGGGTCATATAAAATGATTATTATATCAATTGGCCCATGATCTTAGAATTATCGTTTAATAATAATTATTAAAATGTTACAATGTATTGTCACGGTCTTATATTTACCGGCTTTCATCGCAAACTTATTTAAGACTATAGTTCACTTTGGAAGTACGTTGCTATTATATTCAGAGCTAAACTGGTCGACACGCTCACGAAAAAAATAGACAAATAGCGAGACAGGGCCTATGAAAAACACACTTAATGGCATAAGAGATATAATTTAGCAACAATCAAGCTTTTAATTATAATACCTTAATGAGTAGGTATCGTCTCAGAAGAGTGCTGTTTCTCAAACGTTGCAAAACTGATATGGTTTTTATCTAAAAGGGAGTAATTTTAGAAAAACTTACCAACAACCATCAAAGTGAATTCAAAGCCCTTTTTGACAGCTTTCCTGTATACTTGGTTCGGGAGATTTGCAAATCCGACGTAACCATCTAGTTCTTTGGTTTTGGGTTTTTCTATTTTAGGTAGTTCTGGTTTTGGGGCGACTGGTGGGTGATCTGGTTTCTGAAAAATTAAAATGCTTTATATATTTTCATACAATAACCATTTTTATAAACTTTAAATAAACTAAATATGTTCGTGTAGTGCTTAGAAAGTAACTATTGCGTACTGATATAATATGATTAGGTTTATTTATTAAGTCTTAAATGTCCATAATCAACATATTACATAACTAACAGTTCAGACAAACGTTACTTTAATTTTTATTTGGTAAATTATTTTATAAATACATATATAATAATTGTTCTAAATAAGAAGAAAAAAACAATGACTCACGTTCTATAGACACAAATTTTAATTTTCTAATGAATTGACCATTTCTTTATAGTTACCTAAGAAATTATTCTTACGCCAGGAATCAAACCTTCGGGTTAAACGCATTGAACTGGTAATTAGTGAATCTCGATAAGCTAAAATGTGAATTACTCAAACTAAACGGTTATAGCTCCAATTCTACAAAATTAACCAGAACTAATCAAAAACATTGATTAGCATCAGTTTTGCATTAACAAGTCTATTGAAACAACAACTTTATTGAAACTATCCATTACTATATCCAGACCATCAAATTAATTACCGCCAAGTAAAAGCTAAAGAATATTATTATAGAAGAAAAAGGGCAGAAAACGTATTAATTCCACACTTATCGTCAGATTACAACAGTATTCAGTATATAAGACGAACAAGATTAAAAGGAATACGGAACAATGATAAGAGGAACAGAGGCAATCAATCTGAACATATAAACTGATGGCGCCGACCTCAGACCTTTAAAGACTGATAAAAAAAAATTTTTTTATTTATATGGCGTTTTTAGTTTCAGTACAAAATTCATAAAAGGCTGCACAGAAGTAAATAGTAGTTTTAAGTAATAGGTCAGTTATTACCTTAATTATATTCTCTGTACTCCTGAGTGGCGCAGCAGGCGGAGCTGATGTCGGTACCGGCGGGGCGGGCATCTGTGGCGGGTTAGGTTTTATGTCAACTGATGCGCTACTAATCAACTTCGCTGTACCATTCGCTTCTACGTGGTTGTTCTCTTGTGGCTCCGGGAGAGTCGCCGAGCGTTTAGCGAGCGCGTCCTTAAGGGACGAGGGCGCTAGCGGCGGAGCGGGCGGCGTAGTGTTTGGCAGCCCTGTTGCGCTCACCCCGCCGCTGCTTACTGATTCAGACTTGAAGAACAGCTCGCGTTTACTTTGTAACTGCAAAAAACACAGACAAGTTAGCATATCGTATGAGAAAATCAAATTGAAACTTATGGAAATCTAATTAAGGTTATCATTTTGAATAGATATTCCGACTGTCTATCAAAATATGTCAGCCATTTAGAGTACTTTTGATTTTTAAATAGACATTTAAAACATACATAAGCGCTACATAGTATCGTAAACAGAGAAGGTAATAAACAAGAATTCGACGTCACGTATAATTCCTTTATCAAATAACTCCCACTGTGAGGCATGAATTCATTTTGTGAAACAAGAGGCACTATAGCGATATAATCTTGGCTCAGGCTACAGCTGGGTATATGGCGTCAGATGACTCATCGATACCAAGGCAAAACGTGCAATGCTACCCATAGCGATTAATCATTGAATGCATTTAGATCCAAACACGTTTACGTTGAGTACCTCATACACAATATTTGATCAATTGTTACAGGCTGAATCGAAATAATACAAAACCAGTAAACTTAAACCAGTTCTTATGTTGCGTGTCCTCTGAGTAGTGATTTAAAAGCAAGTGTACTTTTTACTTCTCGCCCGTGATCAAACAGGCTAAATTGCACAACAAAGTAACGTAGACGTAAATATATATAAAAGTATACAAAAGTCACTTTCACACAATTCATTAATGACTGTACAATCGTGCATAAAGTACAAAAAGAAATCTAACACTAGTACATCTCACAATAATGCTTATTAGATCCGCAAAGGTATGATTTACTATCGGCCTAACACTTGTATCAGAAAATTACAGCAATTGCACTAATGATTGACCTGGATCGAAGTCAGTTCGCTAACAACTTCGAGGTGCTTTGAGGAAACGAAAATGTAAGTACCGTTACCAAAGGCTCAAAATGGGAGTCTCATTTCAGTACGGATTTATGTAAATGAGTATTATGCGAGTGCAAAATTCCATTCGGCCATATATCGAATGCTGTACTTGAAGAATACGTAATAATTATCAAAATTGTAACGTAGCCGTATATATAAACATAATTTAAACACAGTATAATATATGCTAATTTAAGATTTTTAAGGACTGCCAACATTTTGGCTACAATTACATTTCTTACTGAAAGGTTTCGGTACAAATATGTTTCATAGCGTATTTACGAAGTATGCAGTCTACACAAGTTATGCTGGTACTATCTAATTCATTTCATAAAAAAAACATTGTACCAGCCTCCTTTCTCCATGACACAATAAAAAACTGTTAACAATGGGAAAGTACTTACAGTATTGAATTCATGCTCCGGATTGTGATTTTTTTTCCTTACCATATTAAACAACTTATTTAAATACATCACAAAACAGTAAACCGTCTAAATTAGACCACATTGAACGAATTAATGAGGAAACACAAGACGAGCAAACATATTTTAGGGTTGATAAGAACTAGATTAATTGACCTTCACAAATAGCATAAAATAACGTGACACACCGACATTATTTATAACAACAAATTCGTTGTTTTTGAATCTAGAAGACTAATTAACGTCATTCATTCTTAAGGTCTAAAATTGGCTGTATTGTTTAGTTTAGGCTAATGGGCCAACATGTTATGTGTTTAACTTAAATGTAATAAACTAATTGTTGAAAACTTCTATAAATCACTTCTCAATAGAAATAACAGATTTTTTTATTATAGTCAATTAATATAAACTGTACCCGTTACACCCTTCGAATACTCATCGTGATATTTGTGTTATTTCGAATTTCAGATACCGAAAACGCTTAAGAATGAAATCTAAAAACTGATTGCTATTTAGAACACTGGAGAGATCTTGATAAAGCTGCTCTCTTTTGAAACATTTTCAGTATACATAGTTTCTTTTTGTCTTTTAGCGTCTATGGGAAGCATTGTTGTCGAAGGTATATTCATTAGGTGACAAAGTGAGACAGAGCATGAAGTGTACAATGTAGTCATGCTACATTAAACAATATGGCACCTGGGGACTCATTTAATAGCGATGGGTTGGACCTTGGTAGCCCCCTAAAGAGTTAATAGTTGCATTAAATAGTACAATTGCGTTGTGAAGGTCTATATGCCTAACCACAGACCGCAAATAATATAGCTTAGAATCTAGTTCACATTAGAAAATAAGTGTGTTTCTGTGCTTAAATTACTACTAAAAATCTATACCTACTATACATCCATAGCGGTCAAATACAGAACTATTACTTTAAAGTCGATGTCATCGTCTAAATCGGAATCCTATTAGTAAGACACTAGAGTGTAGCAGTAATAAATAATCATGACAAGTCAAGTAGAATTGTCTGCACCACGTCTTGTCAATCGAGCCTAGTTCCGTTGTATGTAAATTCAATAGTAAAGCAATTCAGAGGCTTCCGGTAGATGAGGACCCTTCTTACATTTTAAGTATTCAGTATACTCATATGTTTCACTATTAGCGACAATAACGACAAACCAAACTTTTAAGGTTGATCTCAGATTTCTGTATCATTTTTCGTCATCATTTATTTTTTTAATAGGCAAGGTGATCAGCTTGCTGTGCCTGGCTCACGCTGTCGACTTTTTGAGTCTAAATCGGTAAAAACTGTAATCGGTTATTTAATTTAATGAAAATAATCAGCTAGATCAATATTGTTACTATAAAAAAATATTTTAATCTTTGCATCCCTTGATATATTTTTAGCTAACAAAAATAAATTACTCATAGCGTACGGTAACACGATTTACCTACTAACAAGCCCAACCGGCTTCCTTAGTACCTGTGACTCATTGCGGTCACCGTAATAGCAAGAAAACTCTAACGAATCATAAACAAGATTGAAGAAGTCTGATTAAGGTATTAGACATATGAGAATACTAGTGCGATAGTTATAAAACCTGTTTAAAATATCACAAATTTTGTTACCTGCTATATGACTATACATTTTACTATACTATACTTTATCAACTGTTTTTGCCTTTTAGCAATACATTTACTATATTAAAAACTCTAAATCTGTTATTACATAGTACCTACTGTAATTTTCGTCTTATGTCATTACATCAAAGCATTATTTCCAAGTTATCTTTATGTTAAGTTATTGCAAGTTATCAAATTAGCGGTTTATAGATTTTATCAATGGTGTACTCTAGCACTTTTAAGAATTTTTAATTTTAAATACAGCTATTAATTTCTGAGTCAGATTCAGAAGGGAATTTTATGTTATTACATATATTATGTCGAAAACGTATTAGATTTTGACATACCGCAGTCATAGATAGCGTTAAAACTCAAATGTGAATTCCTCATTATCATTTACTTGTTATTAAATTTCTTAACCTTATACTTAAAATAAGAATACATTTTTAGAATGAGTTATGTACATACTACCACCTTTATCGAATTAAGTCTGTGGTCATTGGTACTAACACTGTTACCAAAACAACTTACGTTCCCTCAGCCACGGGAAGTAACATTAATGAATGCACGTGCGCTAACAATCATAGCGAACTGTTCAAGCTTTTCGTATTTCTATAACACATAAATTTACAGAGTTATTTCTATGTCTACGATTTATGGTAAGCAAATTTGTCGTGTTTGACAGTTAGAGTAATATCTAATTATTATCTAAGGTTACAATCATTAAATGTTGTTTTAAATATAATTATTGTGATCCTTTTCATTAGGATAATACAAAAACCTCATTTAGTGGATAATGTCACGAAACAATGGTTGAGTATTCCTTCAACAAACACGACCAGTTCCGCATGATGTATTTTTCTTTGAAAGTTATTAATTAGCTATGCATTGAGCAATTGAAACACAAATACAAAAGAATGTTAATGAAATGCCTAAATCTAAAGTATGGTTAAAATGATAAGAACAAAAGGAAATGTATTACATTTATCTGCAGTTCAAAATTCAATCTCATTAACGAATCGATTAACAGTTAATTTGATATTACGGTTAATATGGTCTAAATATGTTTTGAAATCCTCGTTAAGGAACAATAAGTATTTTTTTTAATAACAATGAACAAACCAGGATAATATGAAGAGACTCAGAACTCATTAAGGCATTTTTATTAACAATATCTTTAATAAGAATGAATCAGTAATAAAAAACTGGGTATTTGCTCACTTTTTAAAACATTAAATAAAATTAATAATGAGTCATCTGATTTCACTACGTCATGTCCAAAGACGATAACTGCAATTTAGGTCGACGCTGTTCATTTAACATCATTGTTACTTTCTCCACGATTGCACTTACATAGATATTATTGAATAATACGGTTTCTACATACAGAAGCAACTAGATTTTTGTTCGAGAAATTATGTCTCTAATGATACGAAGGCGTTAAAAATATTATTAAGTGTTTGAGAATCCTCCATAGTCTACATGACCAGACAGACTATTATATTTATACTAAGTGGAATCTCTATAACTCGAACCTCGTTAAGTCGAAAAAAATTGCTATTCCCTTCCGCTGAACCCTTAAATACGTGGTATCTCGAATTAATTTAGACTTTGTAACTCGAACAAAATGTTATTTCCCTACGAAGTATTGATAATACATATGTATAATACATATGTATACTCTATAACTCGAATTTCAAAACGGAGACTCCGTAAATCGTCGTTAGTAAAATAATAATGACGTCTTACTCGTAATTCTCTGAAATAATAGTAATAAAATCCAAAGTGAATGTATTGTTTTTGATTTGCACATGTGCATTGAATGAATACATTATTATAAAGAGGAAACATTCTGTACTAAACTACTACAAAAACTACTGAATCTATTATGCCTGTGCGGAGCCAGGACATGCAAGTCATATGTATATTAAATTCAGTAAACATAAAAACCACTGCTTTTATGCAATGCTATTAAATAATGAACCGCTATTTTGGTTGAATTGACGAAGGGATCATTTTATGCTCCTAATAACGAAAAAGTAACAAATATTAGAATTAACTTCATAGCTTATGGTATGATAAATAACAGAAGTGGGTGGATGATGTTCCGGCGTGGGCAAAACTGGGAACTCGAATGAATTAACAATAATTTTCTATAAAGGCTTTTCATAAGCCCGCAGACCTTGTAATGAACTTACTGAATAGTATCATTATTATTTTACTTTCTTATTCTATATGAAATCAAGCCGATAAGTAATTTTGTATGCTTCTATTTTTACCATGGATATGCAATGTAAAATAACTTAGGTTAAATATATTAAAGACAAGCATACATTGACCCGGAATATATCTTATAAATCACACGTATACAGTGTCCATTTTGTCCTGCATTATAAACATCTGCAAACTACGTGGTTCAAAGGAAAACATTTCATCAGAATCGAATATATTTAACATAAATGTTTCGTTTGATCAGTTCAGACAATATTTAAGACTTGAAAGCATTCAGGTAATACATATACATATACAGGAGCACTAATAAAGGTTAATTAAATTGACACTCAAGCATACAAAAACTACAATAGGTACAGCCGCCTCACGTATCGTAAAAATCTTTTAATACAAATAACATTATGTTACTATTATTAATTATATTTCATTATTCTTCAGAGAATTTTCAAAATAGGTATAACACGAAAGTTTAAATATTTAAAAATAAACAACAGTGTAAAACTATTTAACTTCTTTGAACACGAAATTTTCCTCAAAAGATATTTAACCTATTTTCATACAATATTTGAAAACTGATATCGCTTGAAAACTATGTGATCTGAGACATAGTGCGGTTGTGATTTACTATAAGAACAAGTCAATGACCTAGTCGTCGGCTATTAGAAATGTATATGGATCGAGTTGTCACTAAGCCGATCAATAGCAGCAAATGTTTTAGAAAACAGACAACTTTCATGTTCATATCAAACACTATACTTGACATGTTATGTTCAACATTATGGCAAGGAAAATGTTAGTAGTATAATTACCGTGGCATAACTAAAACCTTCAAACTTTGATACATAATTACTATTACAAATATTCCTGTATTCAAGGCGTCAAAAAAGTTTTTCATATATTATAAAAGACGATGTGAGGTTCTGTAAAATACTTTTCATACAACAAAGCTATGGGAAATCAATATTGATATTTTGTCTATGTAAGATTATCGCAAATAAAAAGGCAGAAGGCGCATTCAACATGGCTATAGTACTAATAGCTTGTATAGTGTATAGTAATAAAACATAAAATAATATATGAGGGCATTTCTTTATAATAAAACGTTGCATGTTGTTATCTGGCTATCTAGGCGCCAACTTCGGGTAACTGTCGCTCACGTGTCGAGACGCTTATCTACGACGTTAAATCAATAAACATCTAACAATTAATTACATAATTCACCCTATTTCTAAAATTTACCTCTACTTTTCTGCGCAATGATAAATTTCGCCAAATCTCCCTGGGACTCGTCCATCCCACCTTGGTTTTATCAATACCACTATCGCCAACACTACTCGCACATCTTGTGAGTTTAGTTTGTCCGTTAGATGCCATATTATCCATTCAGCTCACATAAACCGACTAAATGCACAAAGAATCCCGCTCACAACACACATTTTGCACTCACTATAGGTTTTTATTAATATAAACGTCTAATAAAATTAATTGTTATGATTTCATATTTTCACTATATTAGTTTTTCAATCTAGTTATCAATAAGATACGTAAAATGGTCTGTTTCAACTTAAAGTACGCTCACGTCTGTCGATTTGAGGTTAAGTTACCGGCAAAGCCGGCTGTTGGCAGGAAACAAGCTCCCTGGCCCTATCACGTGGAACGAAAGCACGAACAGATGTTTTTAAAGCCTACGCCCTTGTTTAGCCACTAATCACAACTTTTACTCGCTTACACGGCGTCACACACATATAAATGCTCAAACAAAACCTTTTAAAGTATTAACTGATTCACACTTATTTTATAAAAAATCTAAATATTATTAATAATAAGACAGTTTATGTCAAGAGTTAGTGCGCGTGTGAAACGGTTAAAGTTAACTCAGGTATAAGTTAATTATAGCTGTACATTTGTATAGGAGATGTAAAAGGATCCTGAGCCCGTCACACTTATACTCAACAGGCACACAACGGCAAGGACAGTTTACACACTTAAGAAAAAGGCAAGCAAATAAAATACTATTGTCAATCTTATTTAAGTAACACGAAGGTCCGAGATTACCCGCATTTGATCATACTTATGTCCTTTTACTTCACAAATCAAAATGCAAGAAGAGAACGTGCCCTAACCGCTTTGCGGGCTTGATAAAAAATTTGAACGTCAATATGGCTTCTTTTAGCTACAGTGTTTCGATAACTTCGTAATAATTGTAGCGATTTGAGGTCAACTGTTTTAAGTTCTATTTCTTAAGTCTTATAAATTCCTCCTGACGTGTAAGTTGAATGACAGCATTCATAATTTGTTTTCTTATCTGTATTCCTCCGTTTGTCAGTGATAACGTAATTGATAAGAAATTCTAAGAACGAGACAAACAAAAGGACTCATGATATCAGCACTTGTGTTGTAAATAGCTATGAATTATTTATGCCTATCTTCGAGCAAATTTTGCATCTGCAAGGAAGATGTGTCTGTACTAACATAGCCGTACGTTATGTTTATTGTATGCAAGTTTATATTAACTAACAAGACATGAGCGAAATAACATAAATGAAAATAACCTTGGATAAATTGACTTTTCAAATGACAAAGAACTTGTAAATCAAAGGATTCTAAGAAATTTCAGGTCAGGTTGACCCTGAAACAGTTAATGCTTAGTAGATTCGACACATGCGAACAGAATGCCCGCCGATACGGGTTATTTTTAACCCTGTAGACATCAGGGTCAGTCACCCGGTCTCTACTACAGCAAAGACCAGTCCCAAGCACAAGGAACTTGCGTGGGAATAAACAATATCCTTAGGAAATAAACAAATTAAGCTTATCATTACAGAAAGAATCTTTGACTGCTGCCCTTAATTTATTACGAAGCCCGCACGATTCAAATTGCTAAAAAAATATATTTTTTATTTGTTACTCAAAATTGATCAAAAATCAAATCACAGTAAGTTAAGAAAGTAAGTGTTTATGTTGGGTAAAGCGGGTAGGAATAATGTTGTACTTTATAAATGTCTTTATGATCAACTCATGAAATCATTATTTTTGTTTATTATTTGCTAAACTATGTACTTATTCATTATTGATAAAGATAACTACACTAGAATAAGAGTTATATTAATTAATGTGTAACTAAGAATGGATTAGGTAAATGTATTTCATAATATTAAGTTATTAATGGCAGTCTTCAAAAATGTTAGTATTTTGATATGCACTAGATGCACTCATAGGGTACGTTTAGTTGTTATAACGAATACTCCCTTTTGGGGGTGCATTAACTTTAGTTAGGGGAGCGCACCGAGGGTGAATAAGATGTATGGCAAAAGGGGACTTACTGTAGCCGTGTCGGTGAGGGTGACTGTAGCTGAGGTGGGTCCAGTACTGGTAGTGGAATTATTGAGCGCACCAGTAACTATCTGGTTATTTGCACTTTGTTCTATAATCCTCTGTCGAAGTGCTAATCTTTCTAAACTTGCTAATCTGTGAGAACCACCTGTACCTTCCCTATCCCTTTCCCTCAATCCGGCAGAACTAACACTACCAGCGCTAAACGACCCACTGTATTTGGGCAACGTCGGTGGCGGCACTGGTCTTGCCGACCCTCCTCTACCAAGTAAGGAGCCGCTGGATGTATATGCATAACTGCTTGGAGTTCCAAGTGTAGCTGTACGTGGAGCAGCGCCAATTCCATTAAGAGAACCGTTGGTACCATTGACGGTACCATTCACCGTCGCTGCACTGCCGTTCATCTCCTTAATACGTCATACGAGGTTTATAAACACACGAAAGAACACAAGAATACGATCGCGATCGGGCAATATAGGTGCGTTCGAGCGGGGTGCCCGTCGGAGGCGGTTTGACAGCTCCGCGATGCAGACAAGGCGCGCGGGTGGACTCATTCGGCGGCGCCCCGCTCACGCCTCGGTTATCGCGACCCCTTTGGTTCTTAAAGCTATTGGAATAAGACTTCAGTGGGAGGGTTGAAAATGCACTGTTGCTTCTCTGTCAAGGTCAACTCCTGAATTCTTGGCGAATTCAGTCATACCCCATTGTACTCATTTTTACATTACCTCACTAACGATTCCTACGTTAGTTTAACGTTCAGCAATACCGCAATTAATTCAAGTATATACATAGCTAATATGTTGTAGCAAAGAAGTTGTAGTAGTTAAATATTGAAGCTAATGTAAATTTTGTTTGGAAATTGTTTGCAAATTATTAACAATAACGTGACGAAACATAAAACAATGGACACTGTTCGTCATTCTGTCACATAAACATCTAGAATCTTTGTAAACTAAATGCAAATTAAATTCTTTATAATTTTCCACGAATAAAATACAATTTCATAACTCGCACAATAAATAGTACAATATGTGTAACATTTAAAATTATAAAAAACAAAGTTCAATGACCTCAAATTAAAAAGATGTTGTCATTATAAAAAAAGGACAGTTACGTCTTACTCTTACGATCTCCTTCCCGATACATGAAGTAAATTTTATTCATAAAGAAAATTAAGGTCTTATCTGATTAAGCTTTTTAAAGAAATCCACGTTTAGTTCATAAAATTTTATAGTATTTCTTGCATTATTTAGATCTAACAAAAACCCTACAGCCTATTCTGAGTTCCAAAAATAATTACGCCACATTATGCCGTTTTACGACAAATAAAAAATATTCAGTTCATATACGTCTAATCTCGGTGCTATTTTGAGTTCCCCAGTCACGCATTTATTAATCACGATCCACGGCACCAATTAACAATGTAAGGGCAAGGGTTTTGACTTGCTCTAATTGGTGTTAATTGTACGAGTTTACCTTTGGAATAGTAGAGTTCTTGAATTAATGTAAATTAATAGAATATATTACCAATAAATTTATTGTTATCCTCTCATGCAACTTTGTCAATATTAAGTCAAGAAATTGTGTCGATTTCATCCTTATCGCACAACTGTTTTACATTACATATATTTTATATAATGCACATTTTGTATATTCGAAGACAAAAGTACCCGCAATATTTTAAATGGTAAAACTTTATACATAGGAATAGGAGATGATACTAAAACAACGTGACAGACAGCATGTTGTGATCATGGTCAAGCAATCGACCGTAACCTGCACCACGCATGCGCACAACTTTATTTAATTGATGCATGCGTGGAAACCTAAAGGGCAATTTTTACTGGGCTCGGCTAGCTAGGGCTCTTTTTAAAAAAACATCTGTAAAATGTTGGCTGCATTCACCATAGGGCTACCTATTAGTATATTTTAAATGATGTCTTCTATATGCAGAAAAGTCGCGTAACAGATAACATCCTAATAGTTAAGTATTAAGCATAATTCTTATCCCTTGGGATGTTATCATCGTTCATTCGAATTTAATCTCAGCTGTACGCCCGTCGCCCATGCTATGGAGAAGTGTAAGTCTACGTGTGTAAGGAAACATACGCAGAAATTTCTCTGCTCAATTCAATGAATGAAATTATTTTATACAAAAATTCCTGTGACCGTGGTATAGGTATACTATACACTCATATAAAATCCACAATATCATGGTCCTTCATTAACTCAAGGAACAGACAATTTGAAATAATTAAATCTATTGTTAATCTTTACAAAACATTTCTTCTTTTTTAATGTAAGATACAAATTTTTATTAAATACAAGCGATTGCATACATTTTATTTAGAGCTAACCCTACACAAGTTCTATTACAGCTATCAGAATAAAACATCTAATAATTACTATAATTTTATTATCAATGCACATTGCACGTTTGCATTGGCGCCACCTATAATAACATTATGTTTCAAAGTACCTAAACATAGCCGCAAATTGAACAAGCCATTATTTATCTGCAACAAAGTGCATGCGACAGAACATAGATGGCAGCACAGCGTGTACTATATTAATGTATTTCATAGTAAAAATTTATCGTACCTACTGAACTCTGAAGTAATTACTCGACATCAAATTATCACCAGTTATTTATGTTATATTAAAATTAACCACTTAGGGCCGGTTTTTTGATCCGTAGTTAACTCAACTATTGGTAAAAAATCGTTACTATTAGTTAAATATCAGCAAAATGCGTTTTTTGATCCGTGCTAAGAGCATCCAATGGTAAAATATCTAACCATTAGTCAAAAAAGTTAACTACTCAGTATCGGAGGGTTAAAAAGATGGCCGCTGGTAATTTATATAGTTACAGCTGTTTGTCACAGAAATCAAACTATGATAAATACGTTTATTACTATCTAATGATGAATTTAAACATATTGAGATACTTTAATTAATGAGACGATGAAGAAGACGATAATATTATATGAGAATGTGTTAATGAGTGACCAAAAATATTTAGGCAATGTCATCCGCCATTAGAAACCTGGGATGATGTAGATTTTTGTCACTGTTACCCCCTATCGAAGGGAACAGTGCTCTGGATTGTTACTGAAATTGGGAATGATCTTAAACTGCCAATGAACAAGAGTATATATAGACAGCAGCTCATACCAACCTATTTTGCTTCATTACTAACTACAGAACCGCAGCAGTATATAATTAAGTATATTACTAATTCATTATGTGTTTTATTGACTTATAATTAAATAAAATACAAGAACAAGAGTATATATAGACAGCAGCTCATACAAACCTATTTTGCTTCATTACTAGCTACAGAACCGCAGCAGTATATAATTAAGTATATTACTAATTCATTATGTGTTTTATTGCCTATAATATTAACTTGTAATTATTATAAGTTAATATTATAGGCAATAGAATACATAATGAATTAGAGTTAATATTATTTATATATTACTAATAATATTAACTTATAATTATTATACGTACATACAAGTATGTACTTATACTAAAAACTACAGCTACACATTAGTTAGGGACCTATGATATTCTTTAGGGCTTTTATTACATTTGTGAGTTAGCATCTACCTACTTTATTACAAGAATTTATAAATAAAACATTTGACTTGATTAATAAACTGTTTAATTATAACTTAAATACAAACCATTTTTATTAAAAAAACATTAAAAAATTTACATGAAACCCTAAAGTAGCAATTAAATATTTTCTAATTGTTTCTTCTTGCATTTCACCTCAATTTGATGCAACTCTTTTTGCTGCTACATATATTTATTGTGCCTTTCTTCCATCTGCTGCATCACTTTTTGGTGCACCTCCTCTTTATGCAGTATGAATTTTTGGTGGGCCTCTCATTGGTGCAGCAAATGTTTTTGATGCTCTTCCTTAGCATAATTGAACAAATCATCCTCTCTTATTTGTCTTTGTTTCAAAAACTCAATTTTTTTTATCCGTGTGGATCATAATCCGCTTCCTTGTTTCCAAAGGGTTAAAAGATTTTTCCTTTTGTTGTAGGACACAGCTATACAAGAATAAATATAAAAATGTGCCTACACCTTCATTAAATGTATATTAAATTTAACACTTTGGTGTCTAGACCCATCTGAGTTGAAAACGTCACAGAGATTTCCAAGCTGCATCTTTTTGTAGATTGCTGCAGTGATCAGTTGTTTGCAGGTTACGACTGTGTAATCCTTGAGAAGCATCACCCGTTTGGCAGTTTCTTTTTTGGCGAAGTTAGCAGTATGGTCCCTTTAACAAAACATAAATGTATTACTTTCTATTACGAAACACAAGATAAACCGGAATAAATAACACGAAAATATGTTTGTACTTACTTATTTGACCGTTGGCTGTTTGCGGACATCGTTATTTATATATTTAAGTATCGTAAAAAGTGTAAACCGTATTAAATCACAGAAAAACAACTTTATTTATATCGTGTTATTTAGATTAATTTGACACTTCAAACTCTTCAAAGCGCAAATAACGAATGAAGATGGCAAAAATGGATTTCATTCACTCAATATGTCTAGTGTTGTCATACAAAATAAATGTTCCCCACAAAAAAGAACCACATTTTTTGGGATGTCATTGCTCATTGCACTGGCAACAAATTGACAAATTGTTAAGTTTAACTATAGTTAAAAAGGCATTGAAAAACGCATTTACGATTTTACCAATGGTTATTCATTTAACTATAGTTAATGTAACAAATGGTAAAACCATTTTTTACTACGGATCAAAAAATTAACCACTTAGAATAACACAACAATACTTATGCCAAGATGTGGGAAATGTTTTGTATTGTAATTAACAATATTAATACAACAAACTTGTAAGTTAGTGACACTAATGTAGTAGTTTATTAGCCCCTCTTATGTATTAATAAATTGTGATGTGTGGAGATTTTACTTTTGTACTAGTTCTAAGTAACTACTATTACGAAAGATAGATGATTTACCATCAGTAACATTACAGTGCGTTGAACATCACAGTACAGTGAAGGGATTAGGCAGATAAACGTAAACACGCAACATAGGAACTCTGACACTCTGACTATTACGAGTACACTACGTTTGTTAACAAGCTCTCCCCAGGTACTCGTTACGCTAAGTCAAGTACGCCTGAAACGTGGGAAGTAGCACAATAACAATGACACACTGTTCTAGACTCAAGCCAGGATTCTGGGCACACTGAAATACAAACGCAAAATCTTTTAAGTTTAACTAAAAAGAGATTTGCTAGGATTATATGTTCAAGCCTACGTTTAGGCTTATAAATTTTAGTCTAAAGATATACTTTAAGGAATGTAGACAGCCACATGGAACTCACAGAGTAAGTAATGATTTCGAAACA